AGAACCGAACGAGCTCCACGTAGATTAGTTTTCACGTTGCATGTAATAATGTGGATTTGAGGTTTCTAATTTGAGATATCGGGATGTGGAAACCATTTTTTGAGGGGTGACCGGTCGCTGGCGTTTGAGGGGTCGGATTTGCCAAGTCCGGGTGTAGATGCTCTTAAGGGAGAAAAATATTGGGGCTCACCATTACTTCCTGACCAGCAAGATATTCCTCAACTCTGGATGTCATCGATGTCTTGGTGATATAGGGAGTAGAGAGGAAGGGACGAAGTGTATATAGAGTGTGGACAACGGTGCATCTTGCTCGCATCATGTTTTGCCCTGACGGCAGCTGGGAGGGGGATCTGTAGCTCTACGTACCCTAATCTTGATCCCATCGAGGCCCGATGAAAATGTCCAGGTTGGCGTGGAGGGTGTGCTCCTATTACTGGATGCAATGTGTCAACAAAAGAGCACCAAGCATTATAAACTCTTTACTTTCCGGCAATCATATTTTTTATTACACATAATCCAATTTGTTTTGAGCAATTTGAAGGAATATGTTTTATTAGCAGATACGAAAATTACAAGCTTTTGGAATACAATGGATCTTCATAAAGTGGATTCTTACGAGTCTTAGCACCAATTTAATTGGAAAATCATCATTATTTATCATGACATGTAAACTCTCGAATACCAAACAAACTCTCAGATTTATTTATACCTGTTGCAACGCACGAAACAGTCAATATAGCTTAAAAACGTTCACAGTTTCAAACTATTTTTGTTTCAATAAAAATATGTTCACACTATCTCAAAAAACTTAAAAACTACCCAAAAAATCATACGATTTTACTAAAAAAACCATTTAGAAATGTATACTTAAAAATTCCCAAATAAACATTTACAAATGTAAACAAAAGAACATTATTTACAAAAAAACTGTAAAAATATTTTTTCAGAAATGTTCAAATATCTATAAAAACATTAACTCTTTAAAAATTGTTCTAATTTTATGAAAGGATTAAATTTTATTTAAAAGAAAGGAAATTTTCACATTTAACCATACGATCGACGTTTATTAAAATAAAAAATAAAAAGTGGAGCACAGTGACACATGTAGCACGTAGTGCCTCTTTTTAAGCCCAGTGCAACGCACGGGCATTTGTACTAGTATATATATATATATACACGTACGAGTGTGTGTATTATATATTAAAGAAAAGAAGAGGATGGGGCTTAGAAGGCCCGTCCACGTTGGAGCTACGAAGTGTTACATAGCCCAACTCCACCCGCAAGCTTAGGCTAACTACTCATGTCATTGCCCACCTCAATGGCCGCAATGGCACTATCCATGTCTGATCTAAATAGGCCTGCCGCCATCCACGCCCTACACTCTACAGCAATCCTATTAATTACAAAGGAGGTCGAGGGAGCATCCCTATCAAAAACAACCCTGTTTCTATGCTTCCAAAGCTCCCATAAGACCAACACCAACATGGCCCGCGCATCCTTGCCTTCCGATGTCCTTCCCGTGTTGCTCACGCACCAATGTCCCAAGCTCGACGTAGGGGTCGAAGCCCAATCAGGTGTTCCCCAGGCCACGCAGACGCTCGCCCACACTTTCCTCGCAAAGACGCATTGGAGTAGGATATGGTTTGTGCTCTCTTCCTCTTGGTCACAGAACGGGCATGCCTCCTGGTGGTCCAGCCCTCGTCTGGCCAACCTGTCAGAGGTCCAGCATCGGTCCTGCAGTGCCAGCCAAGCAAAGAAACGACATCTAAGTGGTGCTTTGGACTTCCAAGTGAATTCCGCCGTTGGCACTGTTTCCTTTGCCCAAAACTTAGCCCTATATGCTGATTTTGTGGAGTATGATCCACCTTCCTCCCAAGTCCACCGAATTGTGTTCACCACATCCGGTTGAAGTTGCACTGCTGCAAGTCTATCCCAAAGTCGCAAGTATTCCTAGAGCATTTGCGTATTGACCTCTGGCCCGACATAGGTATGATACATATATATGACAGAAAATGACAAAGGACAAAGAGTGGTACAAAAACTTGTACCTTGTACAAGAAAGTCTTCATGTTTTAACCAGTCAATGTACCTTAATCATTGTCCATAAAATTAAGTAATACCAATTTGTTCCCAGTTGAGAACAAAATAATGCAAGGATGATAACATCTACTATCTAGATTAGCTGCTTGTTACTGTATGTCTCTTGCCGTGTTTGGTAAGCTTGCTTATTACTTTGTTTGTTAGTTGCTAATTATGCAGTACCGCACAATCGGTCAGCATCTCACCTATTGGTGTGCTATGTAAGGGCACAGCTTGCTTATTACTTGAGGCTGGTCATTGTAGCTTGCAAATCACACATATTATACCTGCAAATCAATAACTAATTGACAGTTGATATTAATTAGCAGCTAGATAGGATGGCATGATTGATATTACTTCATACAACATAAGTCAACTTATCCGCACATGGTTTATATATATGTTGACAAGTTGTTCAAAAAAAATTCTATATGTCAACAACAACTGGTACTGATGGTCATGATGCATTTGGCGTGGGATAACTGTTCCTGACTTGTTTGCAGTCCAATTGGCAAAACTAAATGAAGAGTGGTTAAGGCTTGGAGTTGTCAGGAGCAATGGAGAAGGATTAGGATTGACGTCTTTTGCATGGAAATTACGATCAAATTCGCGAGGACCAAGTACTGGTCAACTGCACTTTTTATGCTTACTAATTAGCTTGTGTGCTGCTGTGGAAAAATAGATATTATATTTAGAGATTTTGTTGGGCCGAGCACATGTGCGCATGACCGCGAGATGAAGAGGGGAAAGGGATGTGTAACACCGGCGACAATCTTAGTAGTACTAAAGATTGCCGCTACTCCTGTAGAAGTCTTATTTGGCTTATGATCAATAGAAGTTTGGCATATGATCATATATCTTTTCCTTCTAGTGAGCAGATCCAGATAAATCATGGCCCCTCCAATGGTCTCTGTATATTTTGTGATGAACATGAGGATGCCTTGCATATTTTATTCAACTGCAATCGCGCGTTTCTTGCGGGGGTGCGTCAGATGCTCCTATCGTGTAACTGGAATCCCTCCATCTTTGCCGAGTTTTTGGTGTTTTGCAACGGTTATCAGGGTATTCAATCTTTAATGAGGACATATCTGTTAGAGATATCCTAGGCACTGGTTCTCTCAGCATGGTATTCAATCTTCCTTTGTCCATTCAAGCTAGGGAAGGGGTTAACAGCACGCAGGTTGAAACTGCATCCACCATCCCAAACGAGATGTTGTCTGATGATTGGCCATGTACTTGGGGATCGCCCATGTTTCTCTCGAGGCAGTACTCGAACTTCTTCAGAGTACATGATACGTTTAAATGGTTATGGAAAGCTAACTGCCCAATGACATTAAAGGTTTTTGGTTTGCTTGTGCTTAAGCAACAGCATTATGACACTGTAAACAACTTCAGCTGCCTTCTTTGTTCTGCTCACACCGAGGAGACTTTGGAAAACCTTTTTTTTATTGCTCATTCAGCTTTCAGTGTTGGACCCCTTTGGGTGTTT